ACCTACCTAGCAGTCAGGGGAGATCATATCTCCTATTAAAGACCGGATGTTTCTTGCTGGACACCCATCACAGGGATGTTTCGGCCTTCAGTCGCATTGCGCTCTATGCTACTTTTTCAATGAAACTTCTTTTTATCCCTCTGATTTCTCTTTTAGTAAGTGTTGCTTACATTACTCATGTCCTTACGTATTGGGGATCTTACGGTATTAAATGTGTTCATTTGGAAAGCTTTTGTACAACGTTATATTGAAAAAACCGTCTCGTCCTTAATTTTTGCACACCAGTGTATGTATTTGTATTAACTTCACTTATTTTTTATATTCACTTCATTCTCAGTATAATTATAAAATTCTTAACAGTGATTCAAACATTTTTAAAGCAACTAAAAATGCAATGATTAACGACATTAGAATTTTATAATCTCCCCTGATAAAATACTAAAATTCTTTACTTGATTAATTCAAAAATAGTTATTTATTTTAATACCATAAAAATTTTAATCTTTCTTTTTCATAAAACAAAGAGATACTTTTAATCCTGTATAAGAAAAAAAAACAGTATTACGCGTTTAAATTTCAAAATAACATTAATTAATTAGTAAATTATTTAGTTTATAGTTATGAAAAAAATTTAAACATACTATGCGAGCAAAAAATATATAATAAGAAGCATCAACAAAATTAATAAATGTGAAACCATTAAATGAAAATATCAGAATAATTGTGTTCTTATTTTTTTAACACTTATATTTTGCGTTTTCTCAAAACAATAAGAAGAGGCAGAGCGGATCATATAAATCAGAATATAAATAAAATCAAATTGCGAATATTTTAACTAAAACACTTCATACAAAACTTAAAACCCACTGTATCAACATCAGTTTTGTTTCACCGGGAAAGGAGTAATTAAATACACTCTGACAGAAAGAAAATAATTATAAGGATAAAATATCTGTAAGTTCGGATATTAAAACGCAGAAAACAGAAGAGACTGGAAAGCACTTATCGTAGTTCAACACGTCCGAAGTAAATAACCCTAAAATTGATTACCTCTGTTAATTTTCGATGCATAAACGGAAGTGTAAGAAAGTATCTCGCTTATGGTAGTTGAAAAAAAATTATGAACAGACTGATGACTATAATGCTGAATCATTTTGTCGTTGACTTGAAATACCCCTATTGAGTTTGAAGAGCTGACTAACTGCAAAGCGCTGATTAAATCATAGACTAACGTAACTTTAAGGCAAAGATTTTTGAGACAGATTATACTTTTTCATTACATGTATAATAATTTGGATATATGTAGAAGAATGATAATGCGATGTAGATGCAGAATTGAACAAAAAATTTGCAATCATGCCGACATATTGCATTTTTTTAGTTGATATTTACGGCTGACACGTTAACTGTGCCTATTTAAGAACTTCTACAATTTTAATATTGTTACGGTAAAAAGAGAGTAGTGCGGCGCGTCTAACTAGCAAAAGTAGCATAGTGTAAATGTGACGTATTTCAAAATGGAAGCTTAGTTGAAAAGGAAAGTTTTGGTCTGCAATCTTGAATTTCATTTGGGAATTAACTACCTCACCAGCATCACGTAAAGGAGGGGGAAGGGTGATTTCCAAATTAAATTAGGGCCCACCAGCGGCCGAGCGGTAAAGTCGCTAAACACTGGTAGTTCGGTCCGAGGTTCGAATCCCGCGAACGGGCTGGCTGCATGGGCGTTTTCGTGGTTTTCCCCACATGTAACGTGTATACGAGTTAGTTTTCCTTAGAAAGTCCTCCACGAAGGCATCCCTCCCCTTAGGCAGATAGCCCTAGTGTGCTTTGCCATAATTAAATACACCAATACACACCAAATTAAATTAGAGGGTTAAGGGAGTATGGAAAATTAAAGTTAGCATTTTGTTTTGCATATTTTTAATGCTATTTATACACACTCGTGTGCAAAATTAAGATAATTTAAAAATTATGTCTATTTTTACGTAAAGTATGCAACAAAAGGTACTAAGTATGCCGCCGAAGGATTATACAAACATTCAGAGCATGGACTTTATAAGAGATAGACTAACCTAGTGGGCGGGGCGTGCGTCACCGACATGTCGCCAAGAAAGAGTAGTGACGATCTCATTTACTATAACATTGAAACCTATGGCGTTTGTATCACATAACTCTTTTTAATTATTAAATGTGATACGTTGTATAGTGATGAGATTATGAAAGGCACAGTTTTTTCCAAACAGGATTTAATATATCTCATTAAAGCACTTTTTACTGCATTTCGCACATTTTTTTCACGCGCGATTCTTGTACAAACATCTTTACTTTGGTAAAAACTCTAAGCACAAAATTTATGAACTTAATTTTGCGTAAAAATAAAGTAAAATTAAATAAATTAAATAAGATTGATAGTACGTGATACTTTGAAATAAATAAGGTAAAATTAAACAAGATCTGACAATTTTTTTTTTAATTTATGAACATTTTCAGGCAGTGATTTTCCAAACTATAATAACGTTCAAAATGATCATTTTATTTGATTATATGGATCATAAATATTAACATTAAAGTGGATTAGTTGTTTTAATAATTCATAAAATTCGGAGCATAAAATTTTCTGAGCGTAATGAAGGGGAAAAAAAAAAGATAAAATAAAATCTAGAAGCACTCAGATTTTATATTACGCCCAAAGGGAACCTTTTTTTTAAAGTTTTGTGTGTTTATTGAATATATTTTTTAAGTTTTATATTTATTGAATATGTTCTTCGCCCGTAACCACATACATTTGAAAACAGCATATCTTTAGAATTTCCGCACTGGAGATAAAACTGTTATTTTCCGTACAGTGCTCGCTTGAAACTCGTTGAGTTTGTTAATCAAGAATCGTTAAAGTTTTACAAAATATGAAACAGATTGAAAACAAATTCGAAATTGGTCGTCCAGATGCCCATGTTCGGATGGAGGATAAACATTATTCAAAATTTGATGGCTCTAGATACTGTCGTTTTTGTCACAGGGCGAGAAACATACATGTATTCATGCAGATTCTTCTTATTTAATTTCTTTACATATAATACAGGGCGCTAATATTTGGTAACAACAATTTGCAAGGAGACACGGACATTTATAGTAAAACAGCGCAAAATGCCGCTTCGAAACTAACGCCTTTCTAGGCTACCGCGCTTTGGGCTAATAAATTAAATTAACAGTAAATAAAAAAAAAATTATGCAGAACTAAAAAATAAATTTTAAAAAATAACCACTATAAAATACAGCAAAATTAATTATTACGGTTAAAATACATTTTTAATATTAGAATAAATGTATAAAAATTTTTAAGGAGTCAAAGGTGTTTATCACTATGAATATTATGAATATAATTGAAATAAAATTCCTTTATAGAAATTGTGCTGTAATACTCATCTATATTTAAAAAAGCAGCACAATATAGAATTTTAAACAAACTTCAAAAATTCGTTTTTAAATTTTTAGTATTTTTTACTTATTTACACCAAAACAAGCATAAAATTTGCAAGAGAAAATTGTTTGTTTGAAATTTCTATTAGTTCAGATTTAAAATATTATTTTCTAAAAAAAGTAGTTACAAATTTCCTTACGGCATAGGAAAAGCTAAAAAAATATCCAGCCCTGAAAGCATGCAATAGCTTCATAATTACTTGGAAAGTTAATCATGTTTGACAAATATGCTAAATTTTTTAAAATCAATCTCAATTTCAAAAATAAAAATAGGTAGAAATTCTAATTTGTGAAATGAGGCGCTACAACCAGATTTTTCTTGACAATTATACATAGACAACCAATGTTAAATTTCTGCAAGTCATCCCTACTCCTCCAGATGTGATCAAGGTGACAGCCGGCAACGCCTCAGACGAGTTCATACAGCCCTGTCTCATGAAAGGGCTGTATGAACCCGTTTGGGTTAGTCTATTTCTTATAAGGTCCATGATTCAGAGTCGATTACGTAAGCGTGTCTGCGGAGCTGTGATTGTGGAGGAGCTACAAGGGCACAAGAGTCTTTCGGCGATTTCTGTGCTTATAGTCCTTTACGAAATTTGCCGTGTTTCTCACAAGATTGGGTAAATTGTATAAGATATCAAGTAAAATGAGTAGCCACGAACGTATGGATGACGGAATGAGATGGGGAGTTGTCGGTTGACTGGAGGCAAGGCAATCACAAGCTCAGGTGGCTACAGAGCTTAATGAGAGAGACACCCAGTGCCGTCTGCAATTTGTGGAAACAGTGTCAGGGCACGAGATCCATACCGAGAAAGACAGGAACAAGCTCGACCAAGGTCCACAACGAAGCGTGAGGATCGTCATTTGGCAGTTCCAACGCAGCGACACAGGACTGCTACAGCTTTACTATTCTCACATCAGCTGCATGCTGCCACTGAAACCCGAGTTTGACAGTCAGCAGTTGCCCGAAAGCTTCATGAGACAGGGCTGTATGAACACCCGCTATTTGCTTCCCGTATACTGTAGCACACAAGAGAGCGCGTTTAAGCATAGACAACATGCGGCTTGGACCAGTGGAATACCGCACATTTTACAGATGAGTCGAGACTCAAAGATGAACTGTGGCACATTGTTAATAGGGAATTGATATCTATCCCTCAGGAGACAATCTGTATACTCTTTTCGTTTCTACTTAGACGTATTGCTGCCTGTATTGCCGCAAGCGGTCGCCCTACAACTTGGTGAGCCTACTGTGCCTCACTAAGTCACTCTTTTTATGAAGTGCATCATATTGTAATAAATCACTTATTGTTCCTTAGAATGTCTCTCCTTTTGTCGATTTTCATCACTTTCTGCGTATGCATTCATATGTTGCATTTTCACTGTCACATATTGAAAATTCGCTTTCACGTAGTTGAAAATTGATTATTTATTGATGATAATTGTAATTTTATTATAATTTTTTATTTTTTTTATTTTTTATGGTTAACTGTCATTCTAATTTTGACTTTTTCTCATTTCAGATATATTCTACGTCGCTCAAAAATTCCGAAGAAATCGATCCGTAATTTTTTTATTTGAAGACTTTTAAAAGTTAGCAACAACTGGAAAAATATGGTACTGTAATGCAAAGTTTTCTCCGAGTTTCAGATGAACTTTTACAAAGGGAACTATTTTTTGGAACAAAATACAATTACGGTTAGTCTTTTAGAATTTCTTCTTTTCATCTGAATATTCATAAAACTCTGTTTTAAGTTAAAAAAGAAGAATTGTACTTTCCATTTATCTTTCTATTATCTTATCCAGATGACTCTGAAGTTTGGAAAAGAAAAACAAAGCTGCAGCTTCATTGATTTTTACTCAAGAAATGAGGTCAGGCTCCATGCACTTAATTTAAAACCTACGAAATAACCTTATAAATATTCCTGTTGGCGAGTTATCAATAAATAAATAAATAAGTAAATGAGATACAAGTAAGTAAAGGCCTGGAAATCGACATTTTGTGATGATTTTCCTTTTATCTTTCACGATTCACGATGCATTTGGCTAATTATGCTTGATTACTATTTCTTCGGAAGATATAAAGTGATTTCTAAAGTAAAAATTAAAACCTGTTCGTTCATTATGAATACTGATCTTCGAATTGCTTAAAGGAGATAGCTGGTCTATCAATGAGATGTGACCAATGTTTTTATGACATCAAAATAAGTTTTTATGTCCGTTCACTCTCATTTTTTGCCACTTAACAAATAACATCAAAAAGCCATTAAGATCCAACGTGTAATCATAGTGTTTTGCTGTATATGAGACACTCTATCGAGAGTGAAATTGCGTGGCACTTCGACTTATCTTCGACCAAAATAACTTTCGATTGTAGAGGCCGGGAAAGAAGCGCCCCACTACTATCGAATGAAAGCTGTGATAAGCTAGCTTGTGCTAGAGGGACATTTATTCTTTTTGGTCTCACTTCTGAATTATTACTCAAGGGGAGAAATTACATTACTTTATATTTGCTCTAATTTTCTAATATTTGATACGTTAATGTTAAATGACCAAGCTGATTACATCTATGTCAAAGCAGATTTTAAAAGAGTAGATCACTGAAATTAGATGCTTTAAAATTTTAATACTGTTATGGCAACCCATGTCATGTTGAATTAGAAATGAAGATTTTTCTATAGTGCATATCTTACAAAGAGCTTTCCAGAATTCATACTCACTTTTCTAACTCATCTGAAAGATAATTCAATATATTCTGCTACATTTATCAAATTGCACTGTCTCTGAACTCGAATTTGTAACAGAAATTTATAAGAATGAAAATATTCTGCTCTCTTTTGATATCTTCCAAGAGGAAAAGATGTTTTATGGTCTGGATGGATAAAAGCTATGTAACCTTATTTTGGAATACAGTTATTTGAACAACAAATTCTGCTTTTCTGACAAGCATAGTTGGATACTGTGATTCAAGAACTCGCGAATTTATATAAGTAGTAACATTCACTATTCCAAAAGCTTTTTTCTCTCGATTTATCACCTATTTAAAAGGTCATGGAGAAGCATTTGTATACATACTTTGGTACTCATAACTCTTCAAAGAATTGAAATCTCAGTGTTGCCTTAAAATATGATGGCCTCTTTACTTAGAATAATCAGCCCCTGAAAGTGTACGACATGTCCTTGGTTATGGTGACGCCTGCACCCGACGAGTCCGGTGTGGACAGCAGTATTTCTCAGCAACAAACTGTTGAACGACAAGATTCTCAGCCTCCACCAGCTTTGCCAAGTCTCAGTATCAGTGAGTCAGAAAACGCCAATGAAAATTTTTTGTTGGAGATGGGTAGGCAGAAGTCTGTTGACTCCACAATATTGTTTCCTCCAGTATATAATAACAAGAATGCTTTGCAGTTCGGGAGGATGCATTCAGAGCCAGAAAGACCTTTACCTTTGGTCGAGTTCCAGCCTTTAGAGCAACAGGCAGTTAATAACACCTCGGAGCTCAATGTCGGATCTGGCTCCCCTCAGGCGAATTACAGATCTTGTCCTGAAATACGGCCAGAGATTCAAGTGCAACCAGCGACGCTTCAAAGGGAAATTACGGAACGGGGTAAGTATTTACTACTTTTGAATAACATATTTTAAAATTCATTATTTTCTAATCTTAACAATTTTGATTCTTAAAGAAATTTTCCTACGTTATTTTATTTAATAGCAATCTGTTACTTTCGTATTTACTTGCATTAGCCGCGTTGCATTCCATATCAGCCCTGAGTACAAATATGATAGTAAGAACCTAACTTTTAGATTTTGTTAAGTAATAATATTACCTGATAATAAAACGCTTGTGTGTTGTAATAGAAATGCTTCAGCTTTGAGTGTCTAAAACCATTCACGCATGTTTTCTGTTTTTTATACTAGTGATTATAACAGTACTGAAAAATTGAACACGCTTTATTTACTTTGAATATAAACTCTCTAATATAAGTTGGCTGAAATATAATACGTAATATGCAACAGAATATATAAACAAAATACACGATACTGGATAATTTACAATTTTCTGTGTTCAGTATGTAGAGTTCCTCACTTTGGAATTCTAAGTTAATGTTGGAAGTCAAGAATCTAGGAACTGATAAGCGAATAATCGCTTGAGTTCGGTGACAAGAAACAAGAAGATAGAAGTTTAACTAACCCTTTAATATTGCAATATGATATAACAAAACTCCGCCTGGGAGTGTACAAGCAAAGCCCGCACTTGGGCTTGAACTTAAAAGACTAAGAATTAAACTAAAACTAAGATTAACTAAAGAAGTATAGCCGAAGCTATCAGGTTCAAATCGAGTTGCCCTTAACTTATTTGACGAACTTAGCAAAGGCCTGAGTAAGACGGCCGAGCGTAATAACAGCTTTGAGAGAGAGGAGTGGCCAAAAAGGCAGACGCACGTAAATCAAAACTTGATCTGTCTGACTCAGTAAGTAACTTCGTGGTTTAAATACCGCTCCTCCTCATTAAATATTCAGCAAGATTCCAAAACTACGTTCTGGCCGAAGTAGTCGTTTGAAGTTAAGAATTTGAAAATTTAACTTAAAATTTAACTGTTAATAAAATTCATAATCCTTACAAGTATTAGAAGAAACTATTTAACAAAGGAGACATTATGAAATATGCAGACTTAGAAACAAAGATTATTAATATCAATAAATTTCAGGAGTAGAAATTATTACACGTTAAATTAAAAACAATTTCTTAATGTTACCAATATATGATACTGAAAAGAAGCTTTATAGATTCATATTATGAGATCTGCCTTTGAATTATAATTTTTAATCCTTTTCACAAAATACAAAGCCAGAAATGAAAAAGTTTAAAAGAACCGGTTTTGTAAATTTAAAGGCATTAATTGAGTTTGCTTGAAATAAAACTTTTCTTAATCAGTTTGTAATTGTCGACGGTATCGCTCTGGCATTTATGAAAATATCAGTGTAATCTTTTCAATTGAAAGCTAGAAGTTTTAAATTATTGCATTTCAAAATTCTGTTATTTTATCATATTTGTTTTAAGTGATTAAGGTTCAAAAATACGATAAAAATATGAGACATAATTTCATATTTGTTCCTTAATTTTATGGGCTCATTTAAGCTTCGGTCACTCGATAGTTTTTCGATTACTAGAAGTCTAAACCGAGCTTCGTTGCCTAGCAACCGCCTAACATCGTTCTATGACACGAAATTTGATTTAAGGTTGTTTTATTTGAAGACGGCAAAGCTTTGGAGGGATGTCTGCCTTTGTGGAGGTCTTTCTAAGTGATACTGGCTGGTATACACTTTATACATGAGGGAAAAAAACGCCCATGCAACCAGCCCTTTCACCGGGTTTCGAACCTCGGACCTAACTAGCAGTGTTCAGCAACCTTACCGCTCGGCCGCTGGTGGGCAGTGATTTAAGGATTTTATCTGAGCGTTCTAACTTTTCAACTTTATGGCAACTTGGTGCAACAGCCGATCAATTACAGCAAAGCAGACACAAAGTGACATTCGGTCGACAATATCTCTGAGTCTGACTGACTACTGCTTAAACCCTGTTAAACACGTGTGAATGGACTTAATGAATTTTATGCCATATTGTGGCCTAAAGCCACAAAGCCTATGACGATAAAACGTGTGTCAGAACGATGCCTTAGTCACAAGCCAAACATTCATTCCGGAGCACACATTCGGATGTGTGCACTGTGAAATTGTCGTATCATATTGATGAAGCAGTGACAACAGAACTGTGTATTTACTTCAAAATCGCACCGAAATAGTCACAAGACTATTAACCTTAAATTTCCTTTATATAGGGACAGCATAAAAATTTTAATCCGTTTTTTCAGAATTTTATTTATGATTTACTATATGTAAGATTAATAAGAATATAAACATTATTCCATAGAAATATAACCCAAGGGGATGCGTCAAGAAATAGTTAAGTTAATGTCTCTTAGAATTAATTACTTTTCCTCTTAAAATTTTATTCTTTACTGGAGTGCACTATAAACCGTGTTTTGAATGAAGAAGATTTTAAAATTACTTTCATTCTTTGTCATACAGATACTTGCTTCAGAAATATTAAGATATAAAAATATAAGAGCAAAATTGTGACGATATTTGGAAGAGAATTTTTATCGAAATTCTTGTCATTCTGCAAATTAGTCCACTAGTGATCATTATTAAATCGGCCCGAATTCGAATGCCGAAGAGAAAGCTGGTTGAATGGTTGTTTTCGCGGTTTTGTGTGTAATGTTAAAACTGGCCAATTTGCTTTGAAAAGTCTTTCACGAAGGCGTCCTTTTCTTTAACCAGACAGCCATCTTGACCTTCACCATAATCAATTAAAATGCAGGACCTGCAGATTAACAACACATATGAGACAATTATGAAGTCCATAAATGTGTTATAAAAAGGGTTACAAGTAACATTCCAGTGCTCCCTTTTTTGTTTAGAATATTTTAACTTGTATTGATTCGTTTTAAGAATTAAATCATTTCCTATATCATTTCTTGGACACAATTTTCTTCTTTATATATATTTGGTAACTGTTTGAAATAAAAGATAGTAAATAGAAAAAAATTAAATGAAAATTGAAAAATATTCTTCAAAATGAAACCTCATTAAAATTTTAAATTTGACACTCTAACGTTTTACTTGAAGTCAGTGTTTTTTTCTTCCAATGGCAGATTGTGAATAATTACAAATGTAAGGGTGTCTGTTAATCTATACAAGGCTGGATGTGATGGTCTCTTTATTATGGAGGTACCTAATAGGTGGACCACCATCGCCTTTCCTATGAAGGAGATGGACAGTTACAACCATGCCTTCTTCGGGATTCGAACCCAGGCCCTTCAACATCGCAGTCAGCTTCCCTGCCCACTATACCGACTTTGCGGCTGAAGTCCGTGTAATATGTGACATTTTAAAATTAGGTACTGATCGCCGTATGGTTCGCATTCCTGAAAAATACATCTCATTTGTCCTTGTCTATCCGAGGTTATCAAAGTTTGTATATGAAGACTCAGCTTCAAATACCGACGAGCAGGCACATGGAGAATATAAAAGACAGTTTTCTTTTAGGCCTCCTCCGAAGTATATTAGGCTAGAGGACTTAGGTGCTTTGCCATTAAGCAAAATCATTCCTAATAACGGAAAATTGATAATTTGTTAAATTATTTTCGTTTGATACGTCCTCCATATAACATTAATCGTTCTTTAGTAACACTGACAATCCAAAATTAAAATTTTTTACAAAAATGCTTAAATATTCTGTTCTATAAACTAAGCTTTATAAGGATGTAAATGTACACATGTATGCTGATAATTTGGTGATAGGGTGCTCAGCTCCAAAACGGGCTGTACGGGAGAATTACAAGATATGATTAATGACACTATGAAGAAATTCAGCACTTGGTGCCAATTATATGACATGAATGTAAATATTGGAAACATCTCTTGTCTGAATTTTTTCACTGTATTATAGACTCTCGATCTTGAGGTTTTATACAATCATATACCTGTGCTTCTGTGAAAAATTTTATTTGACACTCTTCTTAGACAAAAAATTGTCATGGAATTCCCAGGTGGAAGAGTTGAAGTTAAGAGTAAATAGGCATTTAAGCGTAATTAACAGATAGCAAGAGTCCGCTGAGATGTGTGACCTCCACCTTACTTACAAAATGCTTGTAAAACGTGTTATGAAATATTGCTACGCTCCTTTAATAACTGCTTCAGAAAATTTGAAAACAAGCTTCAATGTATGCAAAACCTGTTTATAGCATTTTACAATTATTAATCAGCTATTATGATTTGAACCTTTAGTTTAACCTCTTCCTTCCGTTGTTCTGTATTTGAACAGAAGATTTGAATGCTGTAGAATTCGAGCTTCTGGCAGCGATGCAATTACGTACTATTGCCATCTCTGCCAAAATTTTAGTCCGACTAAGGTACTTTGCTAGCAGACGTTTAAATACACCCGTGTTCAAAAAATCAGGAACAAATGCTAAAAGAAAACGTACCAATCTAAAAAGGGGAATTAAAACATACAATTTACATATCGCTAAATTGTGCCTTGGCATCATTGAATGCAAATAAGCAAGCCAAATTAGCGTAAAACACAATCCTGCAGTCACGCCTTAAAAAGGGACATGCTGGACCTATGCTTCAGTTCGCAAACAGCGATAGTACTGTGTAATTCGAAGAAGTCAAAGCGGAAAGCATGAGCCGAAGACACCATTTGTACAGTGAAATGTTTTGGAGGGTTGTCGGAATGTTGCAAGCTGTTGCAAGACAATTTTAAAGCAAGTACAAGCTCATTTCGGGGCTACGGATCCGATATCAGCAAATCGCGCGAGAGGATTTTCGGTTCACCATCATTTTACGTGTCCTCAAGCCGCTCGAACAACATACACGTGCAAATATCCGATTCTGTTTCGGGATTCGAAGTCATCGTAGATATCATAAGGGCAACATTTGCCCCTCAGTTGTGGTGCTTACAAGGCTACAATTTTGCAATTTGTTGGTGCTTACACTTTCTTATTACGGCCAAAACACTGGTCTGAAAGATTATAATCATGG